AAGGGATTTAACATTTTTATGGAGGTTTTTTTTAACAATTTTCACTAAAAGCCTTTTAAAAAATTTACATGGTCCTTTTTGGGGGTTAGGTAGCCTAGTGTGTTCCGAATGTATACAATGACTTTTAATAGACGTGTCAGGATATATAACATATAAATTTAGTTTAGCCTAATTTTACTTATATCTGAACAAAGTCATTATAAACACATTTCGAATTCATCTACTTATGCCAAAATATCCATCCATGGTAGTTCCCGATTAGTTTCGAACGTTCAAAAATTTAACATTTTTCCATTTTGTGGAAAACACTCAAGTCCTATCACTACTACCTCACTACTACCTCAGCTCTTCTTCGTTGGTATGACTATTTTTAACTCCGATGTATTGATCGGTAGTCGCATTTAACATTGTGGGAATATAATTCTCATTCACAATACCGAAGATGTGAAAGTAGGAGTAAATTTGGGTCTTTGGCTCTAATTTCATAGTCAACTTCGAGCTTCCATTGAGTGGGTAGGTTCGTAGGATTGAGAATGATCTGGTAAGAATGGGCTACGATTTTTTTTTAGCAAAGCCCACAGCTTCCATTATGTGTGTGGCCCCTTCTTTAGCCCCTGCGATCAAAGCTCAGCTGATAGCCAACTACAAACTCTCAGTAAGCTACAAATTCACTGCCTGTAATCGTGTATATCTTTCGCTGTCTGGTTACCGGTAAAATTTATCACCCTCCCAATTCTATACAAACATTCTGCAAACTCTTACGAAGATCATGTCAGGTACCCTACTCATAACTGGTAGAGTCTCTCCGATGTCTTGGTATCTTATAAGGTCTGTGCATGCTTTCAATTTTTGCTAAGCAAGACCATAGTCAGCTCGAAGTTCCTATAGGCTCCAAGCGAAAATTCATTAGCGGTTTAAGTCCTCCACAATATCGGTATTTGTCAATACCTTTTTGAGAGTTCCGACCACTCGCATGCTTTTTGCTATATATAGCAGGTGAAAATAATCAGAAAGCTCATCTTCATCTCCATGCAAATGTTAAAGCTTCAATCTTTCTCCAAGATCATTACCTGACTCGTCCGAAGCCTCAGTACTTGGTAATAAATACTGCTCCAGCTTTTAGTGAACCATAGCCAACGCTAAGAAATTCGTAAGCTTCATTTTCCTATCTGGTAGACTCAAACTATCAGCTCTTAGGTTCATAGACATATCTCAGCAAATTTTCAGCTTATATGCAGCATTCTGCTCCATGTTCTCTGTCAGTAGAAATACGACTCCTCTGCCATCACAGTGCCTGTAAGTATTAAGCTTTAAGCTTACAAATAGTAAATTCGTGACAGAAACCCACTTCCGGTATTTCGCGCTGTGCGTTCCAAATTCTTACCGAGCTCCAAGCGTTAAATCTCTCTTTCCCAAATTCAAACGTAACGCTTTTTTCAAACCGAACGTTAACTTTAAACCGATAGCAACTGCCTGATAGCCTCCGAACCGACATAAATCACCTGATATCCGACTTTTAGCCACCAAGAAACATAGTAAGATCTTCAGCTTGTCCCCGAGAGCCTCTCGCTTCTAGTGGCCTTAAATTGCTCAACAATCGAAATATAAATAGCACAACGTTCTGAACATGCTCACACCTCACTCTTTCTAATCCAAGGCTAACTACAAACCAATCACAACTCCTTGATAACTGACGGGATTGTTGTGCCGTAACCACTACTATACTATATTATCGCTACTCCCTAAAGCCTATTTCCATACCGGGCTGAATCTATTTCTTTCTGTGCTGTTCACTCACAGACCCTTGGGTAACTCTAGTTCATATATAGCCCCAAGCTCTCAAGAACCGCCAGTTTTATATACGTTTTCAAACTCTTCAAAATAGTTCAGCTTGTAGCTAGCTAGAGCCGACTGTAACCACTAAGAAAGTAAGCAAAGTCTTAAACTTGTCTCCGGGAGCCTCTCACATGGGAGGGCTCAAATTTCTCAGAACTAGCTCAAATTTCTGAACAAGCTCCCAGCTCCCTAACGAGACGAGACTGACTTGATTGCCGCTATTACGAAATCAGAATCAAGCCCATATCATTACCCCGATCACCATTGTACCGACGTCGGAACTTGATAGTTAACTGCCAATCAAGCGATCCGATCTCGGTTAGTTAGCAACATTATTATTCTGGTCAACTCCATCCCAGATTCTTAGCTAGGTCCAAGTTCTTCCCACACCCCGTTTCGAAGCCACCGAGCGCTTACAAGACCACATCTCCCTTTTCCTGACTGAATGCAACCTTCAACCTACTACTCAACCATCCCATCACCTGCAAGCCCACTGTTAGAACCATAATACGATCGAGCCGACATTACTCATTCAATTTGAAATCAAACTCGTTACTGCACCTCTCGCAATTTTTTTACCAAATCTGCTCGCCTGGCGAAAACTAGCAAGGTCGTTGGTCTGGCCTGTTTTCTCCAAATTTTTATGAAATTCCAAGTTTCTAGTCAGCTCCAAGCCCTCATAGCTACTTGTTCGAGGAAGTACGGTAACCAATTCGTCACATATTTCTGAAGTATACCTACGTTGATCTTGACAGAGGATGAGTTTACCTCATCTTGTCTTGTTCTAAGTTCGACCGAAAAAAAAACTAAAGGGACTTCTCGAGTTGTTATAAATCTATCTCTGAAATTTTTAAAACTTCGGTCCACCTTTGGCATACCCTTCCTAAAGCTTTCTCACAAGGCCGCGAATTTAGAAAAATTACTGAGCTACTTTTGGAATTGAGATACATTGAGGATACATTTTTCAAATTGTTACCATTTGTGTCTGATTTTTACCCCAAAACCCATGACTTTAACCTCTAAACTCAGATAGGAGACCTTACAACAGACCCTCCTCCCCCAAAAAGTGTCTCCTGTTCGTTAATTCACTATCCACGAGTTTCAGACATGCCTTCATCTCTTTACCAGAAATGATAAGCAACTGTCCTCCTTGTCTTCAGACTAATCTCATATGACATGATAATGGAAAAAAGAAGAACAAGCCGCCGATTCAATGGTGTTATTAAAAAGCGTTTTTAACTTCAGACAATGGATTGCATTAAGTTCCATTTGTTTTCTTTTCTTGGTCCTTTCAATTTTGCAAAATCCTCTTTCGGAACAATTTTAAGAAAAAATCTAGGTACGGGGGAAAAAATTCCACAAAACGCCACAATGCATTTATTAGCAAAAGTGCAGACCAGGAAACGTAATTAGTGAACGGCGGTGACATGTCTTGGAGTTTGAGATGTAGTTGTCCTGATCCTAAAGGATATCCAGTCAAGTTGAAGAGAGATGGTGGATTACCATCTCTCCAAATTCTTCTTCGGCGTTGCAAAAAGTGCAATAAAACGCAACCAAATGTCTGGTCTATCAGCTTGATGTCGGTTTTTTATTCTTCGGATGAAAAACAAGAAAACAATGATTGTTATTCATGGCTCTTTTTAGATTCCGGACAGCGTTTTCTTGGCCTGTACTTGTCTGGGACTCCCGCAAACATCATGATGACGCCAACGACGACGACGGTGATAAAGGCTGCCAGGAAAACCAGGAGATTTATGCATGTACATTTCCCTCCTTATTGTTTTTTGGACATGGCCAGGGTCTTAGGTTGGTGGTGGTGGTGGCGCCGCCGTTTTCTTGTTCGCTTGCTGCGTTTTGGCAATCAGAAGCAGTGCCTTAACAATGCCATATTCCAAAGTGTCCTTAGCCGCCTGGAGTTTGTTACATTTGGCAAAAAAGAAAGTCGTCCAAGAGTTGAGTGCGGAGTGAATAATGGTTGGTGGCAGCAACAAGAATAATAACTTGTCGCCTCCACATCCAATCGGCCAGTCGTGATGGGGTATGATGAAGTGTGGGAGAAGAGAGAGAGAGAGAGAGAGAGAGAGGGAGAGGTAGAGCGAGCGAGTTTGCACGGTCTATGTTCACCTATTCGCATGCACTTCATATGCAAACAACGACAGCGGCAAATGATCGCCTGGACTTGCTGGTGGATACATTCAGTTTCAGTTTTCGTGATGCAATTTTTTGTTTTGTGCAACTTTTTCAATTTTTCAAATTGAAACAAAAGTTTTCACTCGAAAACTGAGAAATGTGTAATAAAAAACCGCTTCGACGATATGGAGGAGGCCAAAGAAAGGTATAAAGCAAAACAAAAATGTTGGATGTTTTTTTTTTTAGAAAAAAATACAAAGAGAGGGGTGGGAGGGGAAAAGGGAGTGAAGGCAGGACATTATGAGAATGAAAACCTCTTCGGCTTGGCTTAACCCCGCTGCCACGAAATATGCTACAAATTCAATGTTGTGTGTGTGTGGGGAGGGCGGGGGGTCCCTCATACACACACACACAATCACAAAATGCATTTGCATGCAATAACTTGTTTGTTGGCAACATTACCCAAAAAAACATCAACAACACGGCGGAATAGCAACACAGCGGCCATAACAATTTTGTTAAAAAATTGTGGAAAATTGCAAACAATAGTTGCCACCATGTATGTCTCCTCCCCCTTCATCCCTGCTAATGCAAACTCCAACTAGCCAAAGAAAAACTTTTAGCTACCACATAATAGTCCCAGGCCTCCCAGGATCCATGGGGATATGAGTTGGCGATAAATATCCCTTTGGGCTTCATTTCCATGATGGTTGATAAACACCAAGCGCTCTTTGTTGTTGTTTTGACCATTTGGTAACTATGGCCATAGCGAGTGGTGTAAATCGCCGCCCCTAAACCAATTTCTCAAAAAGATTCCTCAACTGGTCAATGCGGTCAAATGGCCGCTTGTATTTCCCGGGATTTAGTTTCTAGACTAAAACTGGCCCAAATTGTATTTTTTTTAAACCACATCCAAAACTTGTTTGTTGTTGTTGTTTTTTCTATTTCCCTGAGACTTTTAATTGAATTTCCACAACGAATATTTTTGTGTGTCATAATTTTTATTTGAGTACATTTCTTGTTTTTATTTTTAGAAGTTTGCAGCGTTAATGGAAAAAGTTTTACAGCGGCCCAACTGACATTTTGAATGATTCGGAATTAAAAGTTTTTGGCAAATTCAAATGTGATTGCGTGTGTGTTCATCTGAGCCGCAAAGACAGGTAAATGAAGTTTATTGTGTTATGTAAAATAAAAAATAAAACATTTTAAATAAATTTTTCGAAAGGAGGGAAATTTTGTAGGACTTCTAGGTAATTGGGTGAGACATCGCCAAGAATGAATGAAAATATATTACCAAAATTATATCAGAAAATTCTCTTATCAATTACACTGTTCAACACAAAAAATATTTAAAGGAAAAATGAAAGAAAAGCTAAAAGCAAAGGGATCAACAAAGGGTCTCTCAAAGGGTTTGGTCTCTATACCCTTTCCCACGCGGCAACCGAGGTAAAAAAGGTTTTATACCCTAGGCCTCTTTAGACCAAATCCGTGTCTGGGCATTTGCAGTCGATCTAGAGGTATTTATCCCTCCGCCCGTCTGTGTGGCGCACGATAACACTCGAAGTGGGTATCCGATTTGGTACAAACTTGGTCAAACTTAGATGGGGTTCGGAGACTGGCACATTGGCCCACTCCTTCTGGTACTACCAACCCCCCCACCAAAATATCAACATTTTTTTAAAAAAAATAATTTACCTCACAGAAAGAGCACGTAAAAAAGGAGTAAGTTCGGTCGTGCCGAACTCCTTCTGGCCCACTCCTTCTGGTACTTCCACCACAGAAAGAGCACGTAAAAAAAGGAGTAAGTTTGGTCGTGCCGAACTTTGAAAACCGTCCACCATCGGAAATTTTCAAAAAAAGGGTAAAAATTTTGTTTAAATTATAAAAATACTGAATATAGATAGTTACATTGGGGTCTACACGAAGACGTGGACCAGCATAGGCAACTTTTGTCATAGAATATTACAATATTCAAATACGAAACTTGAAAAAATCCGCTGAATAATATAGCTAAAATCATCAAAATACAGAATATAGGGAGGTACCGATAATGGGGGCGGTTATGTGAACACCTGGACCTGCATAGATAATATTCTGTTAAAGGCCGTGGTATTCATTAGGAAGTCCAAATATTAAATTTGAAACAATTCCGGTGAATCATCAAAATACTGAATAGTGGAAGGTAATGTTATATGGAGGATACACGGGGACATGGGCAATTTTTTGTCATAGGCTGTAATACCTAATACGAATACGAAATTTGAAGCAATACCAGTGAATAATGTCGACAAAATTCGCAACATACCGAATATTGGGGGGTACCGTTGTAAGGGGGCTATCGTGGACCGATATAGCCCATCTTCGAACAAAGCCTGCCTGCAGACAATAGACTGATCTTTGCAAAAGTTCGATCTTAATTCGTTTTGACAGGCCTAGACAGGGCTAGATCATCCCTGAATTTAACGCTGATCGGGAGAGATAAAAAAAACTGCAACAAAGTCAAACGACATGATTTTTACTTTTTTTTAATTTTATTGAATGAAAGCAACAAATGTCGGAAATAGCATCAACTTTTAAAATAAGTTTAGATTTCTTCGAATTGGTCGCCTTTGGCACGAATTATGGCCTTCAAACGGCCAATGAAACCGTCACACGCTGCCGGAATGTTGCTCTGCGGTATTTTGTGCCCATTCCCGGCGAATCGCTTGCTTGAGGTGATCAACACTCTGGTATTTTTTAGTGCCAACCTTGCTTTCCAAAATACTCCAGGCACAATAGTCCAACGGATTGGTATTCGGAGATTTTGGTGGCCATTGTGCGCTGGAAATGAAGCAAGGAACCTCATTTTGTAACCAATTGTGTCCAATTTCTGCGGCTAAAATGCTTGCATGCCCAAGGCTTTTATATACCCTCCAGAATATTTTCGCATTTATTCTGATGACATGGTCGTTTAATACGAGCGGAGAGCGACCATCGTTTGTTAAGGCGGGCAACACCATCACCATGGCTGGCGCTTGAGTTCTGGTGGCCAACCGAAGGTGCAAATTTTCAGCTGACCCCTTTGGCAAGTAAACACGATCATTCTGTTTGTTTAAAACCGCTGGACACCGAATGTTTCCTCATCGGAGAGAACCAAATTCGGCTGAGTCTATTTTCTTTCTGTTGCGCTGTAAGTTCTTGCACTTCTTGGAATGTCAATGGCTTTACCCCGAGCTCATGTTTCAATATTTGCCAAATGGAATATTACGATATGTTTAGCTTACGAGCCATTTTTCGACCATTGCGACGCGGGTTTCGATCTAGTCGCTTTTTTACATTTCGAACCATTTCTGCTGATGTTGCTGTTTTCTTCCATCCACTTCCTTGACATATGTCGGGCTACGCTACCAGTAACACGGTGACGAGCGATGGTACGAGACACAAAAGATTTATTCACATTTAAATGCTGGAGTGCTCTAACGATGACCACTTGTGGTTTTCCAGCCAAATATAAAGAAATCGCACTATGACGCTTGAATTCCATCACGAATAACTTTTTTTCTGAAAAATTCTCAGCAAAATGCTTTTGTAGGTTTGTAAACTATATAATGAGCTGTCACTGGAATAATTTTAACAGCTGTCGAACGAGTGGCTTAGAAATGACAACAGTCTGAACTTGGTTGCAGTTTTTTCATCTCAGCCTGTATTTCTACAAACTTTATTTATCTACCTCTAAACGGAGCAACAATTTTAATAAACATTTTATCAATCAAAGATGGATAAACAAAATACACAAAGGACTCTTAAATTTTCTACAACTATTGAGCCTTTGTTGTTTATCAATTATTAGCAGAATCTCAAAAATCTACTTAAATGATTTACAACACTCCACAACAAATTAAATGATTTTTTTATAATTCTAACCAGTCATTTAAATACCCCCCAAAAAAAAATACACATTTGACATTCTCAAATAAAAAATCAAAATAAGCTCAAATACTCCATTGAACTGCGTCTTTTTTTAACATTTATTTTACATGTTTACCTGGTTTTCAACAGCTATTAATGATATTTAACATTTTTAGCCACAAAATCATGGTAAATTGTTGGGCCGCACGGCAATCAAATCGAAATACTTTTCAATACAAAGAGAGTGAAAAAATCTGTGTAATGTGGATAGGATCTCGAAAAAAAAAACAAGTTGTCCAAAAACTATATTGTCCAGCGCTGTTGAAAAGGTGCTGCAAGTGTAGAGAAAATGAACAAATATTTGCAGAGGCAATTAGGCATGCCATACACGCCACGCCGTTCAATGATGTACTACTCCGGCCACCATGGCTATTTACACTAAACAAATGGATGTCCGTTGTATTTACATACCTATTATGGCGTTGTAATAGAAATAGATAACCAAACTAAAAAAACGCAAATTTTAAAATGTTTCTATGATTGGCCCTTTGGTTGGTGTTAGAGATAAAGTGATAATTATTTATTAGAGTGGGTCGAAAATATGAAAACAATTTAAGCAAGTAAACAAGCTGTAAGTTCGACCGGGCCGAAGTTTGAATTCACTCCACCACTTGGAACGAATTTGGCAATTTTCAAAAAAAAAAAAAATAAATAAATAAAAATAAAATAAATAAATAAATAAATGCCGTTAAAAATCTCGTTAAAATCGTAAAAATATCGAATGTAGCTGTTATATTAAGGTCTATACAACGACATGAACCTGCATAGGTACCTTTGGTCATAAGCCATTACAATATTCAAATACGAAAAAAATCCGGTTAATAATGAAAATAAATACCGAATATCGGGAGGTACCGTTATATGGGGGCTATACGAAGACGTGGACCGGCAATGACAATTTTCGGTCTTAGGCTGTAGGATCCATTACGAACATCAAATACCAAATTTGAAACAACTCAGGTGAATAATGTCGCTCAAATCATCAAAATACCGAATATCGGGAGGTACCATTATATGGGGGCTATACGAAGCCGAGGACCTGCAAAGGCAATTTTCTGTCTAAGGCTGTAGTATCTATTACGAACTTCAAATACCAAATTTGAAACAATTCCGGCAAATAATGTCGCTAAAATGATCAAAATACCGAAGATAGGGAGGTACCGTTATATGGGGGCTATGCGAAGACGTGGACCTGCACAGACAATCTCCTGTCATAGGCTGTAGCATCAATTACGAACTTCAAATACCAAATTTGAAACAATTCCGGTGAATAATGTCGCTATCATCAAAATACCAAATATCGAAAGGTACCTTATTTGGGGGCTATACGAAGACGTGGACCTGCAAAGACAATCTCCTGTCATTGGCTGTAGCATCAATTACGAACTTCAAATACGAAATTTGAAACAATTTCCGTGAAAAATGTCCCTAAAATCATTAAAGTGCAGAATATCGGGAGGTACCGTTATATGGGGGGTATATGAAGACGTGGACCCGCTCACACAATTTTCTGTCATTACGAACCATTACGAACATCAAATACCAAATTTGAAAAAGGTTCTGGTGAATAAGGACGCTACAATCATCAAAATACCGAATTTGGGGAGGTACCGTTATATGGGGGCTATACGAAGACGTGGACCTACATGGCCCATTTAAATACCAAGTCCTGCCGACATAACATACATTTGAGTAAAATTTTGTCAATCTACTATAATTCGTTCGGAAGCTAGAGTGATTTCCACAGACGGACGGACATCGCTAAATCGACAGACTTTTAGACTTTTTTGGGGTCTAAATACACATTTCGAGTTGTTACAAACGGAATGACAAACTTAATATACCCTCCATACTATGGTGGATGGTAAAAAACATATTTGACGGATTACGTGATAATTTAATTGGACGTCATAGTTCTCACTAAGTATAGGATTAGGATTTTGCTTGAGATCGTGGTGGAGGATATCAAAAGTTCGAACTGGCCGAACTTAACTTGATTTTTTATTATTTTCTATTATTCCTAAATTTTAAAGCCTATCTGTGGTATGAGGTGGCATAAAGTGTAAATTTTCATAATATGCCCATAGGATTATCAGGAAAGTTCGCCCACAAAATCCGCCCCGTTTCCATTAGGCCGATGAATATAAACAAACACCCTTTTTGAATGGAATAATTTTCCTCGAACTTAATTTCTCTCCCAAAAATTTGTTTT